AGTGCAGTGGCACGATCTTGGCTCACTACAACCTCCGCCTCCTGGGTTCAAGCAATTCTCCTGCCTCAGCCTCCCGAGTAGCTGGGACCACAGGTGCATGGCACCACGTCCAGCTAATTTTTGTATTTTTTAATAGAGATGGGGTTTCACTATGGTCTTGATCTCTTGACCTTTTGATCCACCCGCCTTGGCCTCCCAAAGTGCTGGGATTACAGGTGTGAGCCATCGTGCCCGGCCAACCCTTCTGATTTTTAAAATGTCAGCGATCATATGCTTAATTTCTAAGAACTCTTCCTTCTTTTGTATTTTTATTTTGGTTTGTGTGTGTGAAGTTAGGATACGATGTAGGAGTATCCAGTCATAGTTTCATGGAAGCAGTATCTTTCAAATGTCTCTGAGAATATTAATTAAACATTTAATTTTTTTTCTATTCCATAGATAACCTGTGTTCTTTTCTCAGGATGAATACTATTTATCTTGATCTTTCTCTTTTATGCTGCTTGTTTTCTTTCTTGTGATCTTTCTTGTCCATTATATTTCAGAATGAGCCTTCTAAGTAGCTTTTAGGAGTTTCTTACTGTGATATATATAAGTCTGTTTTCCCATGGGATATCTGCCAGTAGTGGGATCTCTGTGTACATGGGTGGCAGGCCCAGGTGGGGGCAGATAAGTGATTGTGATAATGCTAGTTATACAAATTTCAATGGCTTTAGATAATAGATGTTTGTTTCTCACCTGTATTGTGGTCCAATGCCTGATCAGCAGGTGGCTTCTTGCATGTGGTGATTCAGAGACCTAGGTTCTTTCCCCTAGCACTACTTAGCATATCTTTAGGCCTTCTGCCTCTGGCTGGCAGAAGAGTAAATAAGAAAGTGCAAAGGTACACCTACTTTGTTAAAAGCCCTGGCCTGGAAGTGATACATATCACTTCTACTTATATCCTATGTAGCTAAATGACTACATTGGAATGCAAGAGAGTCTGGATAATATAGTGGCTTGGAAGTCACCTCCCAGAAGAAGCATCATAGTAAGGAATGAGGAACACACATTTTTGTCACTCAGTTATAGCCATTGCTTTTGAAAACAGACTTATCCACTGGTTGTGTTCATATTAGGGTTAGAATGCTGGAGCCTTTTAGTTTTAGTTTTAGGGAGGGATGGGGTTACAAAGTACAAGCGTAGAGAGAGCTTTAATTGGGGCACTGGCATCCATTTTTAGCATTTCTGATTCTTCTCAACCATTGTCTAGAGTTCTATTTTGACAGGCTAGGGACTTCATGTTTCTTTTGTAGAGGCAGGATATCACTATGTTGCCCAGGCTGCATTTTTATCTCATTGTCTGAGAAATGTAACTTTTCTAAACAATTCTAAAATTCATATGGAACCAAAAAAGAGCCCACATAACAAAAGTATTCTAAACAAAAAGCACAAAGCCAGAGACATCACATTACCTGACTTCAAACTGTACTACTAGGCTATAGTAACCAAAACAGCATGGTACTGGTGCAAAAATAGACACATAGATCAATGGAACAGAAAAGACAACCCAGAAATAAAGCCATATAGCTACAACTATCTGATCTTGAACAAAGTTGATGGAAATAAACAGTGGAGAAAGGATTTCCTATTCAATAAATTGGGCTAGGAAAACTGACTAACCACATGCAGAAGAATCAAACTGGACCCCATCTCTCACTGTATACAAAAATTAACTCAAGATGGATTAAAGGCTTAAAAGTAAGACCTGAAACTACAAAAATCCAGAAGAAAACTTAGGAAAAGCCTCTTCTGGATATTGGCTTAGGCAAAGAATTTATGACTAAGAACTCAAAAGCAAATAAAATGAAAACAAAAATAGACAAATAGTTAAATGAATGAGCTTCTGCATAGCAAAAGAAACAACAAAATAAACTAAGACAGCTTACAGAATGGGCGTGATATGATTTGGCTCTGTGTTTCCACCTAAATCTCATCGCAAATTATAACCCCCATAATCCCCAGGTGTTGAGGGAGGAATCAGGTGAGAGGTGATGAATCATGGGGGTGGTTTCTTCCATGCTGTTCTCATGATCGTGAGTTAGTTCTCACAAGATCTGATGGTTTTATAAGGGCCTCTTCCTTCTTCACTCCACACTTCTCTCTTGTACTGCCTTGTGAAGAAGGACATGTTTGCTTGCCCATCCACCATGATTATAAGTTTCCTGAGGTCTTCCCAGCCATGTGGAACTGTGAGCCAATTGAACCTGTTTCCTTTATAAATTACCCAGTCTCACACAGTTCTTTGTAGCAGTGTGAGAACAGACTAATACAGGGAGAAAATATTTACTTAGTATGCATTCAACAAAGGACTGATATCCAGAATCTATAAGGAACTCAAATGAATCAAGAAGAAAAAAACAACCCCATAAAAAAGTGGGCAAAGGACAAGAACAGACATTTTTCAAAATACAAGTAGCCAACAAATGAAACAAATATGAAAAAATGCTTAACATCATTAATTATCAGAGAAATGCAAGGTAATTGACAATGAGAAGCCATGTAACATCAGTCAGAATGGCTATCATTAAAAAGTAAAAAAATAATAGCTGTTGGCAAGGATACAGAGAAAAGGGAATGCTTATACACTATTGATGGGAGTAAAAATTAGTACAGCTCCTGTGGAAAACAGTATAGAGATTTCTCAAAGAGCTAAACATAGAACTATCATTCAACTGAGCAATTACAGGGAATCTACCCAAAGGAAAAGAAATTGTTAGTTCAAAAAGACATGCACTCGTATGTTTATCACAGGGCTATTTGCAATAGGGAAGTCATAGATTCAACCCTAAGTGTACATCAATGGTTGATTGGGTGAAGAAAATGTCACACACACACACACACACACACACACACACATATATACACACACGCATATATATCTCATAGAACATAAATATATATATATGTATTATAGAATACTATACAGCCATAAAAATTAATAAAATCATGTCCTCTGCAGCAATATGGATGGAGCTGGAGGCCATAAGTGAAATAACTCAGAAACAGAAAATCAAATTATGTGTGTTCTCATTTGTGGGAACTAAACAATGGGAACACATGGACATAAAGATGGAAATAACAGATACTGAGGACTCCAAAAAAGGGGTGAATGGGAGAAGGATGAGGGGTCAGAGATTACCTGTTGGGTACAATGTTCACTACTGGTGATGAGTTCATTAGAAACCCAAACCTTACCACTACATAATATATTTATGTGACAAACTGGAACATGTACCCCAAATGTAAAATTTAAAGAAATATGTAGTTTATCTGTCAGTTCACTTGTTTTTAAAGCATGTATCAATTTAGCAGCTCAGAATATTAGCTTTCTGTGTGCTCATCAGTGAGCACAGGTGGGTAGAGTCTTCTATACCATACTTAATAAAAGGCTAGGTGGGAAGGTGAGTTTGAAGGGTATTTGTTTTAGTTACACTCCAGTTATTTTAACTTGTGTGCTTGAAATAAGTTGGAATCAATGGCTTGTGTTATTCTGGCCCTTCTCATAACTGCCTTGGCTGAGTTGTGTTTTAGCATTAAGGCCTCCACTTTAACAAAACAATTGATAAGAAGCAGCCTTATAAAGCTGATTTTACAATTACTTTAGTGATTTTAAAAGGACGTTGTCTACTCCCTTCATCACTCAGCAATACATTTTTGAATAACTCATAGCAAAACTTGGCTTTTCTGAAGGAGCTGATGTATTCTTTCCTTTCTGATAATGAGAATTGTGCAACAGACTGTATTTCCTCTTATCATCTGTATTTTAGCATTCTCTGGTCTTAACTATGTTAAAACTGTGAGAATGTCTCTGAGGTAATGTAAATTCAGATGGAATTCAACTGGCAATTGGCTCCCAATCTTTACCTGGGTGCAATTCTCAAATGAAGACCAGCTAAAGATATTATCTTCTGCGGGGTGGAGTCAGAAGTGACTACTTTGTGATTATTTGGGGCTTTCTCAACTCAGTGTGTGCTACGTATTTTGTAATGATTGGTCCATTTCTTACACATAAATGAAAACAAATAAAACACACATTAACCGTAATTGAGAAGTTTTTTTTTTTTTTTTTTTTTTTTTTTTTTTTTTAATTTTTTTTTTTTTTTTGGTTTTTTTTTTTTTTTTTTAACTTTGCATTAAAGTAGCCATTGATTTTATGTGATTAAGCTTTTTGGACTGCACATACAGTAAGGATTTTACTATATCTTCATTTATTACTGAATCTCTAATTTCATAGTGTTAATAAAAACTATACATTATTGATAATAAACAGCATACATTTTATGTTGTGCATATTATAAACTAAGTGTTTTTATCATAAGACACCCCCAAACCCTCATAGAACAAGGCAAGGTATAAACACATAAATATCAAAATAATGTAAAATAAAATACTCAGCTGAATGTACTTTGGGATACTAAATACATATTTAGTATCCATATTATATTTCCATAAGGGAATTTTTTTCCCTTTTAAAACTTATTTGAAGACATACTAAATAGCATTACTATATTTGTACTGGGTTGAATAATGTCCCCTCAGATTCATATTAATCTGGAACCTCAGAATGTGAACTTATTTGGAAATAGGGTCTTTGCAGACCTAATGAAATAATTCATTAAGATGAGGTCATATTAGGTTAGAGTAGGCCCTAAATCTAAAGACTGGTATTCTTACAAGAAGGCTATGTAAAGACACAGACGGGTTTCTGGGCAAGATGGTCGAATAGGAACAGCTCCTCCGATCTGCAGCTCCCAGCAAGACCAATGCAGAAGGCCGGCAACTTCTGCATTTCCAACTGAGGTACCTGGTGCAGCCCATTGGGACAGGTTAGACAGTGGGTGCAGCACTGTCTAACTGCTCGTGGAGGGTTAGCAGAAGCAGGGAAAGGCGTCGGCCTCACCTGGGGAGTGCAAGGGGTCGGAAACTCCCTCCCCTATTCAACAGAAGCCGTGATGGACTGTTCTGTGAGGGATGGTACTATCTGGTCCAGATACCGTGCTTTTCCCACGGTTTTTGCAACCCGCAGAATAGGAGATTCCCTCAGGTACCTACACCACCAGGTCCCTGGGTTTCAAGCACAAAACTGGACAGCTGTTTGAGCAGACACCTAACTAGCTGCAGGAGTTTTTTTTCCGTATCCCAGTGGTGTCTGGAACCCCAGTGAGACCGAGCTGTTCACTCCCCTGAAAAGGGGGCTGAAGCCAGGAAGCCAAGTGGTCTAGTTCAGCAGATCCCACCCCATGGAGCCCAGCAAGGTAAGATTCACTGGCTGGAAATTCTCGCTGCCAGCACAGCAGTCTGAAGTTGACCTGGGATGCTGCAGCTTGGTAGGGCAAAAGGCATCTGCCATTACGAGGCTTGAGTAGGTGATTTTCCTTTCACAGTGTAAACAAAGCCGCCAGGAAGTTTAGGCTGGGCAGAGCCCACCACAGTGTGGCAAAACCATTGTAGTCAGACTACCCCTCTAGATTCGTCCTCTCTGGGCAGCGCATCTTGACAGAAAAGCAGCAGGCCCTGGTCANCACTGCAACCCCCGCCTCCCTGCAACCTTCACCTCCCAGGTTCAAATCTCCTGCCTCAGCCTCCTGAGTAGCTGAGATTACAGGCGCCCACCACCATACCCAGCTAATTTTGTATTTTTAGTAGTGAAACAGGGTTTCACTATGTTGGCCAGGCTGGTCTTGAACTCTTGACCTCGTGATCCTCCTGCTACCACCTCCCAAAGTGCTGAGATTACACGTGTGAGCCACTGAGCCTGGCCTATTTTTTTTTTTTTAACTTTGCATTAAAGTAGCCATTGATTTTATGTGATTAAGCTTTTTGGACTGCACATACAGTAAGGATTTTACTATATCTTCATTTATTACTGAATCTCTAATTTCATAGTGTTAATAAAAACTATACATTATTGATAATAAACAGCATACATTTTATGTTGTGCATATTATAAACTAAGTGTTTTTATCATAAGACACCCCCAAACCCTCATAGAACAAGGCAAGGTATAAACACATAAATATCAAAATAATGTAAAATAAAATACTCAGCTGAATGTACTTTGGGATACTAAATACATATTTAGTATCCATATTATATTTCCATAAGGGAATTTTTTTCCCTTTTAAAACTTATTTGAAGACATACTAAATAGCATTACTATATTTGTACTGGGTTGAATAATGTCCCCTCAGATTCATATTAATCTGGAACCTCAGAATGTGAACTTATTTGGAAATAGGGTCTTTGCAGACCTAATGAAATAATTCATTAAGATGAGGTCATATTAGGTTAGAGTAGGCCCTAAATCTAAAGACTGGTATTCTTACAAGAAGGCTATGTAAAGACACAGACGGGTTTCTGGGCAAGATGGTCGAATAGGAACAGCTCCTCCGATCTGCAGCTCCCAGCAAGACCAATGCAGAAGGCCGGCAACTTCTGCATTTCCAACTGAGGTACCTGGTGCAGCCCATTGGGACAGGTTAGACAGTGGGTGCAGCACTGTCTAACTGCTCGTGGAGGGTTAGCAGAAGCAGGGAAAGGCGTCGGCCTCACCTGGGGAGTGCAAGGGGTCGGAAACTCCCTCCCCTATTCAACAGAAGCCGTGATGGACTGTTCTGTGAGGGATGGTACTATCTGGTCCAGATACCGTGCTTTTCCCACGGTTTTTGCAACCCGCAGAATAGGAGATTCCCTCAGGTACCTACACCACCAGGTCCCTGGGTTTCAAGCACAAAACTGGACAGCTGTTTGAGCAGACACCTAACTAGCTGCAGGAGTTTTTTTTCCGTATCCCAGTGGTGTCTGGAACCCCAGTGAGACCGAGCTGTTCACTCCCCTGAAAAGGGGGCTGAAGCCAGGAAGCCAAGTGGTCTAGTTCAGCAGATCCCACCCCATGGAGCCCAGCAAGGTAAGATTCACTGGCTGGAAATTCTCGCTGCCAGCACAGCAGTCTGAAGTTGACCTGGGATGCTGCAGCTTGGTAGGGCAAAAGGCATCTGCCATTACGAGGCTTGAGTAGGTGATTTTCCTTTCACAGTGTAAACAAAGCCGCCAGGAAGTTTAGGCTGGGCAGAGCCCACCACAGTGTGGCAAAACCATTGTAGTCAGACTACCCCTCTAGATTCGTCCTCTCTGGGCAGCGCATCTTGACAGAAAAGCAGCAGGCCCTGGTCATTGGAGAAATGCAAATCAAAACCACAATGAGATACCATCTCATGCCAGTTAGAATGGTGATCATTAAAAAGTCAGGAAACAACAGATGCTGGAGAGAATGTGGAGAAATAGGAATGATTTTACACTGTTGGTGGGAGTGTAAATTAGTTCAACCATGTGGAAGACAATGTGGCAATTCCTCAAGGATCCAGAACCAGAAATACCATTTGACCTAGCAATCCCATTACTGGGTATATAGCCAAAGAATTATAAATCATTCTACTGTAAAGACATATGCACATGTATGTTTATTGAAGCACTATTTACAATAGCAAAGACTTGGAACCAACCCAAATGCCCATCGATGATAGACTGGATAAAGAAAATGTGGCACATATACACCATGGAATACTATGCAGCCATAAAAAAGAAGGAGTTCATGTCCTTTGCAGGGACATGGATGAAGCTGGAAACCATAATTCTCAACTAACACAGGAACAGAAAACCAAACACTGCAGGTTCTCACTCATAAGTGGGAGTTGAACAATGAGAACACATGGGCACAGGGAGGGGAACATCACACACTGGGGCCTGTTGGGGGGTAGGGAGGAAGGGGAGGGATAGCATTAAGAGAAATAATGCGTGTGGGGCTTAACACCTAGATGATGGGTTGATGGGTGCAGCAAACCACCATGGAACATGTAACAAACTTGCACGTTCTGCACATGTATCCCAGAACTTAAAGTATACATATATAAAAGACACAGACACACACAGAATGCCATGTATGATGAAGATAGAGACTAAAGTGATGCAGCTACAAGACAAGGCATGCCAAGGATTGCTGGCAACCAGGAAAGAATCAGGGAACAGATTCTCACTTAACACCTCTGGAAGGAGCCAACCCTGCCAACACCTTGATTTCAGTCTTCTGGCTCCCTGAACTGTGAGACATTAAATTCCTATTGTTTTAAGCCACCCAGTTTCTAAAATTTGTTAAGTCAGTACTAGGAAACTAATACAGTATACTAGCCTAACTCAAAGTCTCAAAAATCTCTTTCTCTGTGCACACATAAATTGAGCACCTAGTGTGTGCTCCACAAATAACTGCCAGTTCACACCCTTGAAAAGGAAGAGTTAATTGCCTATAATAATATAAACGAGAGGCACTTTCACAATAATTTTAAACAAAATATATTCTGATGAAGAAAATCCACTTTCTCCTTCTGTAGAAAATACACTATGGCTTAATGTAAAATGCTTTGCTGTAGTTGCATTTTAAAGAGTATTATCATGTGGATACTATGTATGACATATTACTGTCAAAAGAACTGACAAATAAAGGCTATCAAATTTCATGCCTCAAAAAGATGCTACCCACAGATATAAAGATTTTATCATTGTTTTGTCAACAGCCATAGTTGTTGCCATGCATCTTTCACATTGACTTTCATTAACATGACCATTAACATGGAAAGATACCAATAAGACAAACTGTATTTGTAACACTTATGAGAAAAAGCTGATGCAGTGTATTTCCTTGGTTGATGAGCTTTCCTGATATTGTAACATGGAGGAAAAAAAGGTAAAAAAGAATAATAAAACAGGAATAAATGAAAATTGCTAATTTTTTCACTTTGCTTTTGCAGATCACGAATGCATTTTATTTAGAATTTCCTATGTACTTTTACATTCATAGCTAAATATGTCACTGAGCTTGTGGAAAAATATTAACTGAATGAACTGTTTATAGAAAAATGCTTACAACATGGTCTAAAGGCATGTTTAAGCTGTCATTTTGATGTTCTATCACCCTCTACTGATCAGTGAACCAAATTACATTTAGCCTTTTTCCCCACCAAAGCTGGTGTCTTTTCCAAGGCTAAAAAAATATTTCTTGTACATTTACTAAATCTATAAAATCTGTTCATAAATAAAAATTCATATTGAAAATAAACAGAAAGAAAGTTATCTGTTTATGTCTCTGTTAGCTCCTCAATGAAAGTTAGAGACTATTTTATATTTATATCCTTAGCAGCCAACATACTGCATATAGCACTGTGTATATACTCAAAAAATACTGGCTAAATGAAATGTTGAGGCAATTTGCACAATTATTGCTGTCTTCATTTATCATTTTTATAAAGTTCTTTATTTCATAAATATTACTATGTGGATTTATAAAAGTTGGTAAAACAGATATTTCTAATCTCTTGATTTTATAAATGCTAGTTATTTTGACTTCAGTATAATTAACAGTTTCTATTGATAGTCACTTTTACTGTGGTTTAACATGGGCATTTTTCTGGTTATCTGCTATTCTGAATGGTTGCACATTATTAACTGGGGCTTTTTGTTGGTTAGAGTTACGATCAGCTGCCGGTGGTGGAGAAAACCTGAAATACCATTGGCTTAAGGTGTGATCTGAGTTTATTTCTGTCACACATAAACTTATGTAGTCCAGGATGACATGAAGTTTCCATAGTCATCAGGATCCTGGCTCTCTCTGTTGTTCAGCTCCATAATGCATAAACTCTGTACACTAAAAGGAATAGGTAAGTACAGAGCCTCTGGGAGAGTAGACTCGAATAACTGCATGACATTGCAGAGTGGAGGCTGCTGGTATAGTCTGACAGAAGGTGCTGATGTATGTAATGGTCCACCAAAGCTACGTAAGATCAGTGTGCTCAGTTGTGAGCTACTTGATGCACTGCAGATTTCACAAATTAATATCCTAAAAAATTCTGATCACAAATTGGTACTCATAGTGCCCAAAAATCTTACTCAGTTTCTCTGGTAACATAGTCTCCCAGTCTCCATCAAAATGATGCTGTTCCTTCTTCAGATCTCTTCTCCTCTCATCCTGTCTTTCTGATCCTCTCTCCCTGACATCCTTACATCCTCACTTTTACCGCAGTGCTTCATTCTTCACTGAAGACATGGAAGCCATTTTATTGGCCCTCTTCATCTTTCTGCCATCATATCTGCAAACTATTAACCGAATTTGTACCCGTTTTTCAGCTGTATTGCAAGAAGTGTGCCTATAGCGGCAGTCAGCCATAGAGGTGAAGTTGCAGGGATTTACTCAAGGCTATGG